CGAGGCGAATGACCTATTCAAGTAACCCGTTCAAGAATTTCGGCGGAGCATAACAATCATGAAAGAGATAGGGAAATGATTCATTGAACCAAAGGCATTTATATTCTCCAAAGGAAAAATAAAACCATTTCATGGTTTAAGAGACATTGTCTAAGGGAGAGGCAATAGAGTGTACTACATAGACGATAATCAAGGAAAAATATTCGGTTAATCCGAAAGAGGATCACGGACAGGAAACAAGTCGACAGTCGAAATAATCTCGAAAAAAAAAGCTGCGGAATAAGTCATCTGTCTGAGTGTTGATAAGGTATTGAGATTAGAGTTTACTCTCGGAATAATCAGAAGCGAGAGACACCGGCGAGTTATCGAGGCAGTAGCTTTTGGGTTAAGTGCATAAAAAAGACCACACGTGGCGTGAATTTGTATGAGGCGTGTCTGGATAGGTAAAATCACCGCTCGGAATAATCACTGGATCGATCCCGAGATAAGAGGGTATCAAGGAAAGCAAGTGAACGAGAACATACTATCCCCGCACAGGAAACGACAGTGACAGTTTCAGTTTCGGTTTGTACAATCCTTGATTATGCACTTTCGTGCACCCGGTTTTTGAATGCTGCCTTTGGCTGCCCATCTGGATGAAGGAGTAGGTGGAAGACAGGAAGGTTGAAGGATCAAAGACGGGGAGAAAATGAAGAATTCCAGTGGTCTAACAGTGCAAAGAAATTGAGATGATGCCGTTGTCTACGACACTCAGCCATATAACTTAGTGGATCCGACCACTGGTTACGATCATCCCTAGGTCCCCAGTCAGGGAGCCCAACGGGACCTATATCGCCGAGTCTCTTCGCCAGGGTTTTTATACTCTTGTAGTGTGCCCGATGGTACGGTGAAAAGCGGACTATATCAGACTTTTGTCGGACGTCATTTCTCCCCTACAATCTAAATGCATGTTCACATTTTCACTTCGGTACCAACGCCATGTAACGTTTATTTTATACGCTCGAAAACTGCTGCATCCTTCCACGAAGGGAACTTTCACTTTTCACTTTTGCTCCGTTTTGCTCGTTATCGCGCTCGTTGGTTCTCGTGCCTCCGTGCTTTAATGCAAACGCCCGTTAGCCGGTACCGGTACTTTCTCTGTGCCATAGTACATCAATAAACAACAACCACAAGTCTTCTGGTTTAACCAGATGTAACTTGGTTGGTTTTCGAGCTCGGGGTCCCGCTCTGAAGTGCGTCACGGCAGGTCGTAGTCAACGTTTCTTCACCCTCGTGCCAGGTCTTGGTTTGACCGCCCTTGGCTTAAAATTCCATCCACTCTCTGTCTCGGCAAAAACCGCTCGCTGTGACAACCTATCTGGTGGCATGCGTAACACATACCCCAAACAAAGTAACCCGTGAAGACCGATCAATTGCTCCAGTCGACGCCCACGATTACCCAACGTTTTGTGTTTTTAGCATTAAACCACGACTGCAAGATACATATGTTCTCTTTTATAACCAGACTGCACCATCAAGGTTTCGAAAATTCGCTGGTACATCACCTCGGAAGGCGCGTTATCCATCGAATACATCACCAGATCGTTTGCCGTATCAGAATGTAGTTAACTCACCTTAAGTAAACTGGCATTTTTTTTCTTGTAAACAAAATGATAAGAGAGAGAAATTAATGAAATCGTCAAACTGGCTCTCTACAGGAAGAGAGAAAGAAAAAGTCAATGAAACGAATTGATGGCATTCTCGTTTCACTCATAGGATGGATTATGTGATCGAATTTGCGGCATGCCCGGCATTTGATTCAGGAACATGAAATAGTTTTTGATAAATGCTTGAAATATTTGCTCAGGTAGTTGGCTTCAGGACTTAACGAAATCGATGTTCAATAGAACAGTGGTTGACCTTATTTTCTTCCGAAATTTATTATAAAATGTTCAGAGCGTCAAACAAAGGCACTCATCTTGTATTTATGGAGAGAATTCCAGAGAGAGGCAAGAATAATTGTTGAAATATCACCATTAATTATTGAGGAAACACTGAACTGAAGAATGTTTTTCGACTATTCATTTTCAACCTTCTACAGAGATATACGATCACATGGTGCCAACAAAAGTCATGATTCATAAAATATATTGGAGTGAGAAGAGAGGTGTCACTTTGCCGCTGTTCAGCAAAACCAAACGATGACTGAATGATCGTATTATTTGATCAGTTTTATCAAATGATTACAACTCTGTAACCCTCTCTCCTTATATCCCAGGTTATGGTTGCTGCTACCCCGTTGTCCAATATCAGTGCGTGGTGATGGTGATGGTGATCTGGCGATCACCATCTCTGTTGCCTTCGCAACTGTTTCAACAAGATTCGTGATTTCAACCATCCCCCGCAAGAAAAAAGAAAAAGATGTTTTTGTAACTGAGCGTTCGAAGTGAAACCAACTGACATGGAATTGTAATTAAATTAAAAAAGATGCACAAATATGGTTATGAGCGCATGACTGATGTATGTATCATGAAACCTCATTTCAACTTCTCGAAAAGTGAGATTGGAAAAAAATTTTCCAACATTTCCTGACTCCGCTTCGTTCTTTGTGCAACTGTATTGAAAAATTAGTTTAAACTTGTAACTGTTCCCGGAGGAGGAGTAGTTATGGGCGATGGACAATTCCTTCGAGCTGGTCCGCACATGTCTGAATACGTATGTGAGATACATTTTGAAAAATTGCGGTTTGTGGTGGCGTGTTCACATGAACGTGAATTACGTAACAAACCGAACCACAACGATCCCAGCCCATCTCGGATTGCATTGGCAAAAGTGGTTTTGGAAATTAAAATATGGTGATTTGGCAAATTTACTTTGCATGTTTGAATTGTTAATTATCTCATCGGTGGGATTGAAAACAACGTACAGACACTACCTACGATTTTGTGCAGCACAGGCTGTACCAGTTGAGAGCTCTGAGATCACGCGCATAGCATGGATCTTTTCACGTTTGGATAACTCACCCAATTTACAGAGGTATATGAAATCTACTGTGTAGCATGTAATCCGACTTCCACGGCAGATTTGCCTTGGAGGTCTCAGGAACCCACCAAATGAACTTGGAAGGTGAATGTTATAGTGTTAATAACACAGCGATATCCGTAGATAATTATAATCGACGACTTTTTGATTACCGTGGTTAACCTTTCGCAAGGCAGATTTTTGATTGTAAAACCTGCCTTGAGAAAGTTTACCCACGGTAACCAAAGTGTCGGCGATTATAATTATCTACCGACATCGCTGTGTTATTAACACGATAACATTCACAATAAAACAACACATGGCGCATCGATTTTTCGATACACTTCAAGCATTATTTGGTCACAATAAGGAGTGCGTTGCTCTACCGTCATGGCTCCTAAAGTCGTATCTGGCAAAGCTGCAAAGAAGGCTTCCAAAGTGAAGACCCCTAAGGTGGACAAGAAGAAGAAGAGGAGGAGGAAGGAGAGCTATGCGATCTACATCTACAAGGTGTTGCGCCAGGTTCATCCCGATACCGGTATCTCCTCGAAGGCGATGTCGATCATGAACTCGTTTGTGAACGATATTTTCGAGCGTATTGCCGCCGAGTCCAGCCGTCTTGCCCACTACAACAAGCGGTCAACCATCACGAGCAGAGAAATCCAAACTGCTGTTCGTCTATTGCTGCCCGGTGAACTTGCGAAGCACGCCGTTTCTGAGGGCACGAAGGCGGTGACCAAGTACATTAGAACTTGGAAGGTATTGTTCAATTGTTCATGGTATTTGGCAGATTTAAGTAAGCGGTACCCGCGAGTGGGTTCGAATCCCAAAAAGGCTACAGAACTTTTCACGATTCAAACGAACTATCTTAATTTGTGTTACGCACTACTGGAATACTGGTAGTCATGTGTGTTACAACCTTCACGAATGGATAACAAATACACAACACGTTTTATTCGATAATATTGATTAACTCACGAGTTTCTCACTGATCTTTTGCGGGTAGATCATTGTTATCCCAATATGTTATTTGATCACAGATACAAGAAAGAAGTAAA